TTAGTATTGAACTTAAATTTAAAAAAAAATTTAATAGATATTATTAATTAACTTTAAGAATTATGAGGGGTCAGATATTTATATCTGCTACTATATATATAGTATATAATTCTTATAAATTTAACTTAATATTATATAAGAATAAAATTAATATGAAAGAAGCTATAGAATATATTGCATAAGCTTAAGTTTTAGTAAAAGTAGAATAATTGTTAATTATTAGCGAAAAATAGGTATTTTGCCAATAATTAATAATGATGATATACAATAAACTTTAATTGTAGATGAAATAATAAATTAAAAAAATCAAAAAGCTATCAAAACTCTTTTGTAAATTACTATAAATGAATCTTTAAAAACTAATATAAATCAATATTTAGAAATTGTTAATTTAAAATTCCAATAGAATAACCATTAACAGATGCTGAAATTGTATAACTTGTTTTAGAAGAATAATATGATAAAATTAAATCAAATGATAAAATTAATCAAGAATATTATGTTGTATCAACAAATGAAGCTTTTAATAGTTTTAAAACATAGTTACAATATTTAAAAGAACAGGAAAGTGAAGAAGTTGATATAAAAGATATGCTGATTTTTAGAAAACATATGAGAATTATGCAATGTATAGTTTTTAAAAGTAAAGTACAAAAAAATATTACTAATTTCTTTTTAGTTGATAATGTATAATTTTATATTATAATAAACATATTGATAATACTATCATTATTAAAACGATTTTATAATATAATTTCTATTTAATCACAATTATAAAATTACTTAATGGTGATTATATAAAGGGATCTAATATATAATCACACCTCTATATTAGTATGTATTTTATATACATTTGACTGCGTGACTATAAGGAGGTACAACTGTAGAAAAATTTTAAAATAAATCTTATATAATAATATTTTTAATAATTTATATAAAAAACAAATTTTCAAAAAAAATTTTATAGTAACTAATTGTAAAATTATATTAAAAAATTAAAATATTTATTTATTAAAAATTTATTTATAAAAATATAAAACAATTAATTTGTTACAAAAATACTTTGATTTTGAAAACTAAATTAATATTAATAAAAATTTAAAAAGTAATTAATTTTTAAATTTATTGACAACCTTACTTAAACTATTAAAAATAATTCACTTTAACCAAGATATCTAAATATAAACTAAAATTATTAATCATAAAACAAATTTTTAAGTTAGTATTATTATGTAATATATTATTTACTTATAATTATACAGTCAACTTACCTTGTAGTAAATTTAATATAACGAATAATATAATAAAGCGACCTTTAGATTTTAATGTATGGAATAAAACTCACTATACTGAATTTATTAAACTAAATGCTATATATTACGTTTAATGAAATAAAGTGAATGAACCTGCATAATCTTTTATAACAGATTTTTTTATAACAAAATTTTTTAAATATAACAATTTTTTTTTAGATTAATATTAATTAAAGACTTGTTTTTATCCGTAGGAAATAATCGATCGTTCGATTGAAGAGGTTGATGATAGATGCAAAAAGTAAATTCTTCCTTCGATTTAAGCGGAGTCCCAATCAAATGAAGTGAAAAAAAAAATTGCAATTTCACATTTATGGAGCTTTTATTAAAAGCTTAACGGACAATTTTAAAAATAGTTTTATTATACAGTATATTTCATTTTTTATACGTGTATTTTCATGAAAAATTCTCTGAGCTAATGAATGAATTTAAATGATATTATCCTTTTAATCAATGATACATTAATACTTACCTTTAAAGAATTCTAGAACAAATTCATTCAGAATCTATTGAAGGCATACTATCAGGATTTCTCTATTCTTGCCAATGAATATAATGATTTCCAAGTTGATATATTCTTGTGTTTGATTAATAGGAAGAAACCCTCCTAGATAAACATAATATTAATAATTAATAGCAATATCAATTATCATAACTAACCGAGAATAATCATTATTAGTCACTTTCAGGACTTCTGTTTCAATCCATGTGCACTTCTGTAATCGTATCTATGCTATAAAATTTAGTGAAACGCTTCGTTTTTAACATCGTTAGACAAAGAAATCGTAAAAACGTTTAAATATGAAAATAACTACTACATTTTAGACGCAGGATGGATATGCAATATGTTGCCGTCTCCAAAAAAAATCAATATCACGCAATATTCAAATTAAGAGGTTCACTAAATATTTTATGCCCATTTGGAGTTAATTACACTTTGCAAATGCTCGTAGCAAGAAAATGAAGAGCGCGAATGGTGATAAGTTTACATACGAAATGTTGAGAAACTAATGGGTATATTAATGTGGAATCAGATTTTAGAATATAAAGCAGTTTTAGTGAGACAAAAACTTTGTAGATTCAGTTGCAAAGAGATCATGCATCTAAAATTCGTGAAATTAATAAAAGTTTTGCCTCTGTTCGGGAATTTTTCTAGGTAAATTTTCATTTATTTTCCCGTCAGCGAAATTTAATCACCCGTGAAATGATTAAGATGGAACAAGACGAGTAAGAATTTATTAAATGAAGAATATTTTATAAGAATTAATAAAAAATATATATATCATGTATATATATTTTTAATTATTTATTAAATAATGCATAATAAAATTTTGTTTCTTAAAAACAGAACTAAAAAAAAATGGATTTTTTAAATTAATATCAATAAAATAATTTTTTCTATTAATTCTCAAGATTTTTTCTCGAAGGAACTTGTGCTTTAGACATAAACAGAGAATATAACATTCGGTACTGATGATTCGTCGTCCGTAATGACCTGGCAAAGCTCTTGAGTTTTGCGGTTCGTTGTTTTAGATCAAGGCTTGGGGATTAACCTATCAAAAAGCGTCAAGCCAGTACATCATTTTGTTTTTGCCGTTTATAAAAAGTGGACTTCGATCATCATATTTCAAAATACTTGGCTCATTAAATCAGTGAAGTGAAAGCAACGTGCGAAAAGTTTCGCAAAGTATTCTAATATACCTGCTGTAATTAGTACTTTGCTGTGAAACGAGTGTTTGAATTACAAGTGAGACAATTCTTTAGATAAATTAAAGTTTTGTGATATAATTTTTTCTTTATGAATAATAAATATAAATAAATGACCGTGTTTTTTTTTTTAGAATTTCTTTATACGAACTTTGTTCCGGCTTTGTAATTCAATTAAGTCGGACCACTTTGAATGGCACACGATTTTGTTATTTTTTAGTAATGGGTAAATACCTTTATTATTAAGAATTAGGTCTTTTACCTAGAAGAAACTAAACATTGATATAACTAGATAAGGCTTGCTCTCTAGAGCATATCATTTGTATTAATTGCCCAGCCCATATATGTTCCCGCCCCCCACCAAAATTACCCTATGATGAAATAAAAAAAAAAAAATTGAAAATCCTGGAAAATCACATGCCGATCATATGAATTATATAGTTCCATTCCTGTCCTTTGATATCTAAAAAATCTAAAAAATGCCCTCCAATCATTTTACAATAAATAATTATACACGTGAGTTTAATAAATTAAGGGTCGAGCTTATTTGATGTCTTTCGAATTTAATTCATTTACGGTAATTAATCTCTTTTCGATGGGTTTGTATCTTTGGATATAAAGTTTCTAAATACGGCATCCCTTTATTCACTTTTTATCCATTCTAATTGGTTGCACTTCCTTTTGTTTGGATCGATTATTAATTGACCAATTCAGCATCCTCACTCAATATCATCATCATCTGGCGGTACAGCAAGAGCCTTTACAACAAAATACCTAAATAGGTCGCCTAAATAATTTTCAAGAAGGATATATTTAAGAATAATTATCTCAACTTCGCAATAAAAAAAAAACAACAATAATATAAATATAAAATCATAATAATGGTAATAATAATAATGTATTAAAAGTATCAAAAATAAAAATTTATCTATTATCATTCCTTGATACAACACATATTCATTCAATGAGAAAAAAAAGTTGACAACCCCTTTTTTTTGCGGTCCTTGCTATACTACATATCATGTATATATATGTGTCATTTTTTTAATTTTTTTTTTTTTTTTTATAAACAAAAAAATCTCACATACAATATACACTTCTAATTTACTAATGTTAAATTATTGTTCTCAGCGCCGTTGCTTGTGACGGCACTGGTTCCATTATGTTCACTTGAGGTAGAATTATTTTGTTCTACTGGAACCTTAATTGCGGTGGAAGCGTTGTTCATACCCATTTGCCAGGACGGAATTGACGGTCGACTTGGTGACACTCCAGGAAAAGGAGACGAAACTGATGGAATTGCAGGTAATGTCGTCGAATTCATAATGGGCGCTGTTGTTGAAGATGATGAGGATAATGCTTCGGCTATAGGTGATCCTGTTGTTGAATTAGATCGTCGATTGAGGAGAAGAGATTTTAACGATTTAAGTTCTTGTTGTACTTCTGAAAGTGATTGGTTTTGCGAATCCTTGGTCTTTTCAAGAAGCTAATCGATAATAACAAATGATTTATTAACGGAACATATTTTACCAATAATTTAAATAAATTTCATAATATATGGCACCTTTGTTATCAAGTCTCGAATAGCATCCATATCTTCCTTTAAAATTTTTAAATCTGAATCTCGTTTTGCTTCTTGTTGTTTAATATCACTCATCATTTTGTCTAGAGTCTCTAAGGATTCTTTTACTTTATATACTTGTTCTTCAATAGTTTTTTTGACAACTTGTGTATCTGACTTCACATCATTAAGTGTCTCAGAAGCAGCATTGAATTGATCACTAAGTGCTTGTTTATCCATCTCAAGTTCTTTCGCTGTAGGTGTTTTTAGTAATGGCAATATATACTTCTATATAATGAAGAATTAATTAGTCAATGAGATGTGAGATGATTAATTAATTCCTTGAATGAATAAAAAATATATATATATTAAGGGTAACCTTTGTGACTGCCACTATTGCATATCCAATGCCTCCAACAAAAACTGCAGCGATAAAGAAATCTCGCCAATCCATTCTCGGAACTGGAGGTGGTTGCGTTATCATAACTTGCCCAGAACCTTGAGAGGGCGGTGTAGGTGGTATTTGCGGTGCAACATTCGGAGATACATCTTTTACTTTTTTTAATGCTTCCTCAATCTCCTCCGAAGATAATCCTTTAGATTCTAAAAAAGCTACCCGCTTTTGTAACGGAGAATTCTTAACTTGTGGATCCTTAAGAAAGTTAACCGCTGACTGTACCAGTTCTTGCCGAATAGTAGACATTATTAGAAAATAAGTTGTAAAAGTAAATATTTGAGATATTTAATCGATTATTTAATCATCTGTGCCGTTTGAGGCTGGCTGATTGCCAAACATTACAGTAAAGATCGACAGCGTAATCTTATTTCTGTATCCAATGATATCATTCTTGATTATCATTTATAAAGTGTAGCTGTCATTTTATAGTAGGGGGAAACCAACAATGTCCGACTTTCACTCTGGAACATCATTTGAACTCACTCAGAGTAATCCCTCCAAGAGAGATTCGGCTCTTCAAGCCAAAGTTCAGCCAGAAACGATAGGTTCCACTAGTTCGTCACAACCAAGAACAAAAAAACCACCATATCCTTTATTAATTCCAGCAGTTCCAGCTCAATCGTCAAGTTCCGGTAATCGTACGAAACCTACGGCACCTTTGCGAACGACAAAAACATCGCAGAAATTAGTTTTATTACCTGAAGGAGATGTTAAACCAGCTCTCGTGATTGACGAGACTTCTGATGATGCCGAGACACCGGTAACTCCAATGATTCCTGTTCCAGCAGCATGGGATGGTACAGACGCTGAAAGAATGTCAAAGGAAGTTAGGGACAATAAACATTATCCTAGGTAGTAAAGTAATTCACGTATATCCTATCGTTGTCTATTTTTTAATTGAACTTTATTTTGTTCTAGGAATATTTGATCCATGAATGTTATTATTATTATTTTATTTTATTTTTTTTTTTTTCTAAAGAGTAACAGCATATTGCACTGCAGAAGGCTTTTATCTTGGACTATTAATAGAATTCCTTAAAAGAAGACATAATGTTAATCCAAAGTATTTTTTTATAATGTATAATAAATATCTTTTGATTTTATTCAATCTCACACATCTGATGATTTGTGAATTTATTTAATATAGGTTATATGATGAATGTTTATATGCACCGTATCATTTTCCTTTAGTATCTGGAAGACATAGTAAAATCGCATCAACTGTTATAAAGTCTCCGAATGGATACACGTTTATGGATAGGCAGATTGAGAATTATGAAAATATCAATGATATATCCCATTATTTTTCAGTTGAAGAGGATGGAGAAGCGGGCTCATCTACAATAAAGCCAGCAGCACCTCAAACTAATCTAGGTGAAGTCTTCTACTTTGATTATGGAGTTGTAGTGATTTGGAACTTCACAGAAGAACAAGAACATTTGTTACTCCAAGATATTGATGAATTTAGGATTTCAGCTCGTCCTACAAAAAAGGACGACATTGAAGTCGAAACATTTCATTTTCAGTATGATGTTAAATCCAATAGACAGCCTAGGATTTTTAACGATATGATAACGCTAAAGACTGATAATCATATGATCAAATTAACGATTAGCCATGCAATAAGTCAAAGTACCAAGCTGACATTATATGAATGGCAAATGGAGAATACGATCGAGAGGACAAGGCATATACCAAAGATGTTGGCACAAACCGGAAGATTAAATTTGTAAGTCTCGAATATTAATTAACTAGTTTTAAGAGCATTGTTAATGAAGAAACTTGAAATGGTTCTTCCTTTGATAATTAGAGATCGAATTCAGGTTACAAAGTTGAGTGGAGAGATGTTCAAGCTGCGAATGAATGTAAATCTAGTATCCAATGTATTAGGTAATCTTATTCACCCCCATGTTCAAATGCGTTAAATGAAATACGTATTAAAGCTTATTAACCAAAAAAAAATATAAAATAAAAAAAATAAAATAAATAGATACACCGGAAATTTTTTGGTCAGAACCATCCTTACAACCACTATATAATGCTATTAGATGTATTTATTATTATTATTTATTTATTTATTTTTTTTTTTAATTGAAAATTTGGTTTCTGTTAAATATTTAATAATGCTTGCAATTTTTTTTTAAAAAAAAACTAGCTTATCTCGAAATACCTCAACGCGTGGACCTTTTAAATGAACGATGTAGTGTCATTAGTGATTTATTAGATATGTTGCGTGAGGATATTGGCAACTCAAATATGACAAGAATTACGTGGATTATTATCTGGTTGATCGTTGTCGCAGTCTTCGTTGCTATTGTAAGTATTGTTTATATCGTTATTCAAATTGCAGGAAAGATCATATTATTTAACATATTATTTACATTATAGGGTGAAATCGCTGTAAAAGCATTATATTTTTATGGTTAGATTGTATAATATTGTAATTTTAAATTAGTAATTGTTGATAATTATTCTTATTTAATATAGAGATTTCTCTTCAGTAATATTATTAAAATGAGATTTCTAAATTTTTGATTAGGATTAGAATGTAAAAGAATAAAGAGTTATAGCATTTAAATTCAAAAAGACAGGTAAATGTAGTAAGGAAAATCATTATGAAACTCTCCCCAAAATAATAAAAAGAAAATTGTTGATTATATATAAAATTTGTGGCGCATATAATCATGTGGCTTGATTTTAAAGTGAATATCAAAGTTGAATTTCACGTGTATTAATAAACATTTTAAAATATTGAATCGAATATATTTAGAAATAACTTTTTGAAAAGGATTGGAGAAAGAAATGAAAAAAATTAAAAAAAAAAAGTTATATAAAGCGTCAAATATATATATATATATATATTTATTTACGTTATTCTTACAAGATTTACAGAAAAAATCTTTTTTTGGATTTCTTTTTAAAAATAAAATAAATAGAATACATTCTACCGTGAAAAAACTTTATTTATCGTGGAAATTGTTAATATCTTTTTTGTTTTAAAAAAAAAAAATTCTATCAAACGAAGATGCTTTTACACAAGAATTCACGGATGTATTTGATTCTACTTTATATGATAATTACAATCATAAGAAGTGCGACGGCTTTTGAATCACGGAATGTAAGAAGAGGTTTTTTTGATCCAATAATTGCGCCTTCAAGCCCACCGATTTCACCTATTCCGATTCCGATTCCGACTCCGCCGACTCCGCCGATACCATCCTTTACCTCAATCAACATCACGTCGCTAATCACACCAACCCCCACTCCCGTGGTAAATGCAACAACGCCTATAGTAGTACCCACTCCATTAAGTACGAGCAATACTATAGACAGTGCGGTTCCTTCAAGTAGACAAACTACTATAGTTGTTGTTGATAAACCAGCTACTACTGATAATGATGATGATGATGATGATAATTCCTCTATGGGTAATGTTCTAGATGGTCAATTAATTGGCGTTGCAATCAGTTTGATTGTTAGTTATTTTGTTATTTGTTAATGAATTAAATCATTTGTTTTTAAAGGATTACTAATATTTCATCAGAGATTAATTACTTTTAAAAAAACTACTTGATAATTAATTACTAATAATTTTAATATAATATTTTACTTAAATAAATCAATATAATTACTCTATAAACCTTTTACAATGTTGGGAATACGAATTTAAAAAAAAATGTGAAATTTTCTATATCATTTGCTTTATTTCGTCGTAACAAGCCACCTAATCAAGAGTCTAAATTCAAAAATGTATATTATAAACACGGTTATTATTTTATTGATAGCAAGCTATTGTTATTCACTTTGTGTTTAACATTAATATATTAAATTTATATTTATCATAGAAAAGATGTTTTATACCCCAAAAAATGCAAAAATTACTAAACATCTTAATCAAAATTTAGAAAATATATAAATTAGGTGATGTAGTAGTCCTTATTCGAAGTGGGCCTTATTAAAAGGCGAAATTGGTGTTATGAAAGACAACATGGTGTTATGAAAGACGACCTAGGTGTTAAGGGTTATGAAAGACGAATTAGGTATTATTAAAAGGTTTCCTATTCGAATATAAAGGAGAGAGTTATTAACTTATCAGCAACATGGCAAATATTGTATATATGATTCCTTAATGAAAAACTACAACAAAAAAAGTATTATGCTCAGAACAAGAAATCAAACATCTATATTTATCATTAAAAAAAAAAATATTAAATAAAATTCGTAACAATCAAAACTCTTTATATTAGATTTGATTTCATAAATGCAGTAGGTGTCAATAGATGAATTTCTATTTGAACACAGGGTGTATGAACACCATGTCCAGATTACTTGTAAGAAACGAAACATTGTGAGGTTCATAAGTTTATGTCACATGACCAGTGCTTATGTATGATTTTTAGGCCAAAATACGTTCGTTACATTAACGAATGTCACACGAATTTTAGTAACAACGGGGGAGGGGTTTTTTAAGTTAGAACAAATCATTTACTTTTGGGCTAATGTAATAAAGATTACAAATAATCTGAATTTTTGGTATAAAATTTTAAGATTTTAATCTTTTTATGACGTTTAAACGTAATGTATAACCTCAAGATTTTAGCAAATTCGAATTACAAAAACACCAAATAAAATAAAAAATTTAAGTTGTAGCATATGCATTATTTAGGAACAATACCGGTATTAGGAAAATGAAATTCCCATTTAGATTTGGGCGTTTTTTTTTTTCTTTTTTTCGTTAGCTCATTTGGAATAAATTCAAATATTTTTTTTTTTTATTGGCATTCTTTCCTCAAAATTAAATTAACAAACAATGAAAGATTATCCCATAAACAGTTTATTGTCAATAAATTCTTATTCAAATAATTTATCGTCAACAACGAAAATTTATGATAAAGATGATGATTTAAATATAACAAATTCATTCATCAATCACTCTTCTTTTACTTTATCGACAGAAGATAAAGATTATTATTCTATTGATGATTCAAAAAAATTCCATTTGTATGAGGAATCATTAGCATCCTTTTCTTCAACATCATCATCTGCGAATTCATCGATAACCTCGTTACCTTTACCTTCTTCCTCGACGACCTATTCGTTACCTTTGTCAACACCAGATAATCATGATCTTTGCATGAGCCATTACAGCTACGAACCCTTATCAATGACAATTTCTGAACCAAAGAGACATCACGAAGAATTTACCTACAATTCCGTTCTGAAGTGGAATGTTTATTCATCTGGTAAAATTAACAGCATATCGAGATATTTAGTTATATCTGGTATTTTATTAGGTTCATTCTATTATTTGGTAAGTTCAAAAACCCTTTTTTTACTGCATTGTTTCTTTTTAAAGTCTAAATATAAATTTTTTTTTTTTTTGTATTTAGGATCCATTCGAATTGGAAGATAAATTCATTACCCCTATGAAATATCTTGCTACCTATTTAATAATATTTTCTTTAGCCTTTAGAATCTTTACTGGTAAGAAAGGTGTCATACTACTACTACTCTACTACTATAACAACTACAAAAAGCATTTAAAGATAATTTCAATTAATTTAATTATTCGTTATTATGAGTAGTTCAAAATCTGACTTGCAAGAACAGAAAACATATCAAATCTCACGCCATTTCCAGCACTAATAATGATGTGTCGCCGTCAACTTACACAACCCCTCAACAGCCACAACAACAACAGCAACAACCACAGCAAGATGGGACAGTTTCAATAAACATGGAACAAGATAATCAATCTACGAATAATACAAGAGAAATCAATCATGAAAATTCAGCTGGATTTGTTGAACCAAAGTTATGTGGAGGTTGTTGTTCTAATGTATGCGATTGTAGTTTAAGAAATAGTAATATTAGAGATTGTTTTAATTATTGTATTGCTGGTTGTTTGAATGTTTGTTGCTTCTTCTCTTGTTACAGGTAAAACAAAACACTTTTTTTTTCATTTATTTATATTTAAAACTTGGTACACGTTTTTATATTATCCAGTCAGGATTAGAAACCTGTGATTGAATCACATCACTTACCTAGGTTGACCTTTTCATATGATCAAAATACATCTAAAAGAACTTTAATTTTCCCCCTCTGCTTTTGTTGTTTTGAATGACTTGGCAACATATTAAAAGACTTTTTGCGGATGATTATAATCCAAGCCTCTTAAAGAATGATATAAAAAAAACCGTAAATATTTAATTTGCTGCATTCATCATTATAAATGATCTTTTTTTTTTTTTTATTTTTCAAGTATCATCAACAATCTGAAAGGGGATTAATTTTATGTATTGTTTATTATATATATAATGTACTAATTGTCGCAACAAAAAATTTATGAACGTAACAAGCTCCTAAATATCACTCACCACCACAATCACCACAATCACCACAACAACAATCCCCTCCCAAGCATTCACACAAATAATTACAGCAATTTCCCAAACATTCGCACATATCATTACAACAATCTCCCCAAAATTCACACAAATTATTACAGAAATCTCCCAAACTTCCGCAAAAATGATTACAGCAATCTCCCCAATATCCACAAGTATAAGAATCAAAGTAATAGCAACAACCATTGCAATCACAATTGCAACCACAATTGCTATTACCCCGTTTACTCTCGCAACAGCAACAAAAATCATCATCGTTATCATCATCATCATCTTCGTCAACTTTTCTCGCATAATCTATGGTTTTAATTACAAACCAAATTCTTGTTATGACCAAGATGATCGCGGGGAAAGATAAAAATATTTCCATGTTTTTACAATTATTATCAACCGCGACACTTGTCGTATCCGTAGGATCGTCTCTGGATATCATGTAATACGTTATTAAGTGAAGTAAGAATAATGATGGAATAATGAAACATGTATTGTCTGCCGTATCTGCCAATTTAATTATTTGTGATACTTCGATCCATTCCGTGCTAAATGCCAAATAAGATTCCTTCTTAACTGTAAAACAAAAGAGTGGTTAGCGCGGTTCAACTCGTAAATTTATACAACTCAAAGAGACACACTTACAGCACAGGATTCCTAGACCGTTACAAAATACGAAATATAGATCATAATATTTCATTTGTAATAGGTTTATTATACGAACGATCATTTCTATTACAAAAAACACTATTATGTAAGCCTTTGCCAATATCACATAACCACTTTGCACTGAACTCTGAAATATGAAGTCAGCGTACACAAAAATTAATCAAGCGGAAAATGATCCATGCATCAATCATTATTAAAGCGCAAACTCACCTTATAATAAAAATATAATAAAATACCGCACCCGAGTAACATAATAAAATTACACAATGCATTGATATTCCACATTATCAAAGGTCCGAATTTCCTGATTTTATCATCACCAAGATCCTTTTCATAATCATCAATATCCACCATAGGAATCTTCTCATTCTCAATATCTATTTTGACATAAGATGATGGTAGATACATTTGTTTCCTGTAATAAGGTTGTGATGATGATGAGGAAGAAATTAAAACTCTTCTCCTTTCGCTATCAGGAAATAGTTGGGTACGTGGTGGGTATGTCATCATCGTTGGGGTATATTTTGGAAAATCCCTTTCGGGAGGATCGTGTTTATCATCTTTTGTAAATGATTTATTGCCTTCTTGTTTTTCGGACATTTTTAGGAAAAGATTAAAGTTGAATCAAAAATTTTATATTTATATATTTTTTTTTTTTTGTGTACACACAAATTCCCGTTTTAATTTTCCATGGCTACATTAAATTCATTACTTTTTGAGCAAAATACTAGTTTTTTTTTTTTAAAAAAAAAAAAAAAAGAAAAAAAAAATCGTATTCAAAAATAGCACATTTGATAGAGAAATCTGTAAAGGCGGAAACATCTATAATTCATTTTTTTGTGGCAGAGTGGCTTTTATATTATACCATATTGGACGGTAATTTTTATTTGTACGCGTTCAATCAACAAAAAATTTTCGCTTTTATAAAAAAGAAATCTTATGAACCGGCAAGTAATTAAAGTGAAATTTGCCTTGAATTCTACGCCACAATCATTTATTTTGTAACTTGAATTGGTAATACAAAATAAAGAACAAGGATTCATTATGGTGAACTGTGATCGGAAAAAAAAAAAATTCAAGTTGAAAATCTCGTCAAATTAACAAAAAAAAAAAAAATAAAAATAAAAAAAGGATCATTTTATTTACTTGGTTAAAAAAAGAAAGACAAAAAAAAAAAAAAAAAAAAATTGGATGGTCCTCAAACCGAATTTTCCGGCTTCATGAAAATGAAATTTTTCTTGCGGAATTTCTTCAATCCATTGGTAAAAAAAAATTTTATGTATGTGCACAGCCCAGTTCCTTTATTTAGTTATTCCTTTATCTCTTAAACATTTTTATTATTAAAAAAAATGTAAATTAGGTGTTCACGTGCGGTTCCTTTTTTTTTTTTTGATTCGCCAAATTTCCGCGGATAAATCAATGTTGGCATATATTCAAAGAGTAAATAGCGTTTAAGGTGGTCGTTATCGTAAGAAAGATTATCAAAAGGAAATGAAAATACCGAGAAAAATAGAAATAATGATTCAAGCCGATCATTCGTCGAAATGGCACGATCAATTCACGAAAAGTTCGTTTGAAATTTCAAGCATTGTGATGATTAAGATGGGTCAATATGCGCATCGTTTGGCGAAGCAATTATAAATACATCTCACATGATTCGATGATTGATATTATGTCTGACCAAAAATGATCCAATCAAAACGTTCTAATTTATAAATTTACAGTTACACATTTGATTTTCGTCCCTTATAAATACAACTTGAGTAAATTTCAAATTAATTACCCCTCTTTCTCCAAAAAAAAAAAAAAAAAAAAAATTTATCATAATACGCCCATACTTGTTATTAGCCAATCAAATTATGACATCAATTTCATCAAGGTTACCATTAGATGTTTTACGAATAATTTTTACATTTATTCGGAAATCCGGTAAAAATTCAAATAATGATGATTATAATACAAGACGTTATTTACATTCTTGTGTTTTGGTAAATCGCTCGTGGTGTAGAGCAGCTGTGCCCCTTTTATGGAGGAATGCATTTTATTACTTTAAAAATGGTAATGCCAAATTAATTGATACGTACATCTCATGTTTTGGTTACGAAGAATATGAATACCTCGAAGAGGAAGGACTCGTCTTACACAGAAAGAGTTATGCAAGACCCGTTTTTGATTATGCATCAATGTTGAAAAGATTAGATTATGACAGGTTTTGTCAATCCGTTGACGTTTGGTGTAGCGAATTAGAAAATGCCCCTTATAATTCGATATCCTTGATGATAAGGGCACTATTTAAAATGTTTCTCACGAGGTCGGTCATACTATTACATTTGGTGCTTGGTGAATGGCTTTCACGGAAAGGTACTGATTTTAGGTATAAAAGGTTAATGGAACGAGAATTTAAAAATTTGTTGAAACCCGTAAGAAAGTTAAAGTTACAGGGTGAATTCGTCAAGGATCGCGTCTTAACGGAATTGAAGGATTCCTGCAAAAATTTGGTAAATACACGCACGCAACATCTCTCTCGTCGCTTGTTCACATGACTTAACCATTTCAATTTTTTTTTTTTTTTTTTTTTTTTTTGATAGGATAAACTATTCGTGTACCTCCAAAATTCACCGCCAAATTATTTCGAGGAAATGGAATCCTTACGAGATTTCGTGAACAAGCAGACTCATCTAAAATCTCTCAAGGTTGCCAACGTTTTACCAAATTCAATCTTCTCTTCGTTATCAACACAATCGAAAAGTCTTTGTTCAATTTATTTTTGGAGGGTGGACTTTAGAAATTGCGAAGATTTATCATGGGAAAACCTTTCTGCGTGTAAAAATTTACAAAAATTAAAATTTAAGGATTGCATGGGATTTGGGGATAACATGTTTGAAGGATTAACCAAATCACATTTCCCAAAGTTACAATTACTCGCTATAATTGGTGATAATAAAAATGAGTACGGTGAACATATTATTCAACCGGATTGGCAAGCTTTTTTAGATAGTCCCATACTTTGGGACACTAGTACCATCCAAGAATTCTTAAAAGTTCACCAATTTCAATCATCTGATCAGCAAACTTTATTGGATTGTCAAAAGATTATCGATTGGGGAATTGAACAAGGTTCCGTCGTTGTGTTGGGAAGGTGGACTCTTGCTTCCGCTCTTCAGAAATTTGGTCGGGTTATAAGAAGTATGGGTCGAGTAGAAAATTTCTTTTTTGAACAAAATTTTATTCAAGATTTATTTATAAATTTTTTTTTTTTTTTTTTTTTTCCTTCCTTCCCTCTAGGAATAACCTTGACATGGACGTATTCAGACGATTTTTATAATATTTATCGTCAGTATTTACAAATAATGTACAAGTGGTCATGAAAGAGATTTATCAAATTATTTATCTTTTTTTTTTTGATTTGAGAATTGTAAATTGTATAGTAGTTTAGTGAGTTGTTTTAAATAGCACTTTATATATATATATTTACATACACACATGTTATATAAAAAGAAAGGATTTTACATAATTTTAAATTTAGGAAAGATAGATTGTTTCATACTATATTTTATATTTTGAAGGAGATTTGTTTTTTTCTTTTTTTTTTCTTTTCAGTAATACCTAATTTGTAGAAATATTATCTTCTCATCACAATGTCGAAAACAATATCAAAAAAAAAATTTTTTTTGTCTACTTTTTTATCCTTAAATATATACACATTGTTTACGCGTGAAAGGGAAATCTTATCTCATCAAATAAATGAATGATTCCTTACATACATCTATTTATAATTTTAGAGTATGTACTGAATATATTACCGTCATTAAATACATTAAATGCAAACAATATAAATAATAACTGTATGATTTATTATTTCTAATTCATTGGACTATAATGAATATTGATGAGGTCATTCTTATTTCAATGAAAAAAAAAAAAGGATTCTGTCGAAACATGCACATTCAAAGGTGGTACTTTTTTGATCAATATGAGATTTTGCTAGAAAAAAATTACCAGGAAGATTAGATATTATATCTCGTTAGAAAGAAAGCATATGTTATCTTACTGTCGCACTGTTGGTGATTAATACCCGTGATACGTGCCGTCAATTCGTAAAAGATAAAGGAAACAAATTTTTTTTTTTTTGTAACGCGCGTTATCGGAAGGTGGAATTCCTATTTGGGAAATGTGCCAGGAAAATGACCTCCTGGAACCATTTATACCAAAATTTCTGTATATGGCACAACACCGGACCAACTGATCCGATATAGATCTTTTTGAGGTTTTAAAAACTAGATTTGATGGTAATTAATTAAATTATTTAAGATAAAAAAACAAATATCCGATTAAATAACACAGTTATCCCAATATGAGCTTATCCTAATTTGGTATTCAGGCCAAATGAGGCACGAAATTTGCAGATCGAAACTTGAAAAAAAAATTTTTGTTATCGTTATTCCCCGAAAATAAACAAATAAGTAAATCCGATTAATGATGAAGAAAGTTCTTTTAATCAAACATCTTACACAACCCCATTGAATCTAAAGATAAAACAATTTCTTATTTGATTGCATATCAGATAATCATTAGAGAAGCACCGAAACGATAAACAAAATTGTATTGTCTGTCTGATATTAGACGGGCATGGACATGTCCCCAAGATTATGTCTGCACATATATTTGCCAATAATTTTTTTTTTTTAAGTAAAAAAGCGAATGTATTTCATTAGCTGTTGATCCTTAGATCCCCAGAGACGACATGAATGAATGAATGAAACCACTTTCCACCAGATGATGAGTTACGTTTCATCTTTTTGCTTTACAAACCGGATGTCGAAATATTTTAGATACTTGAACGTCCTTTACCATTTAAGGGATCATCATAATCATCGTAAATAAAAAAAAAAAGTAAAGCAGAATTCTCATTCGTAAGCGGAAATGATACCAATGACACCTATTTTGGGTGCATAGAAATTAAAATGTTATGATAATCAATCTTTTCGCCATTTTTTCTCTTTTTTTTTTTTAAAAAAAAAAAAAAAAAAAAATAAGAAAAGGTGCATGTTTATTATTTATCATATACCAAAAAGAAAACTCATGGCATGATAATATGCAAACTTTCTTCTTTGTCAATTCATCTCAGGAAATCATTAGTGATTCTTTGTTCCATAAAAGAAAAATACCGCGACAAAACTTTATTCGGTGACACGATGAAAAGAAAAAGTAAAATGATGGGTAGCGGTTAAATAGGGACCCGAGAATGTCATTCGATCTTAATTTTAAAAAAAAAAGATTTTGGGTCGGGTTTCCAATTTTTGGATTAATGATCTTTACATAATATGTAAACATGTGCGGTGATCTTTTATAACCCTAACGAAACCGATTCAATAAATCGATAATCTAAAACCTTTTAATCGTTCTTAGGTTTGTCAAAAGGTGGGAATTTCTTTAATCCCATGACGACGTAATAAATTGAATTTAATTGGTGGGGAAATAATAGGGATAACATCAGGTTGCACACGATTACAGATAGAATCTGGCCATGTACTTGGAATATGCAGGGGCATTCCAAAACGCTAAAACTTAAAAAAAAAAATATAACAAATAATAAAAAAGAACTTGCTTCAGGGAGTGAGAAGAAAAAAATATACATTATAAAATCAATGAAGATAGTCATCTCATCTTTAAGTATGATTCAAATGGTTAAAATGACATATCTATCACAAGTTTAATAGTCATTTTTAATAATTTTATTATGAAATTGTAATAAGTTCATACTAATCATGTCGATCAATTTCAGACTTCTTAATAATTTCGGAATTCTTATTAATCAATATCAATATGTTTGGATATATCCGAATAAATTAATTTTAACCTTTGACACAATGATTGCGACGTTTTTTTAATTTCTTTTTTTTTTTTTTCACCTGATTTTAATAAACTCTGAAACACTTTACCAAAATGTGTTCATTCATACTTTTTTTTTTTTTAAAAAAAAACTTTAAAGGCATTGTCTAATGATATCAATAGAAATTCGGTAATTACTCCTTGATAACTGTCTCACCAACTCGGATTTTGGTGGTTCATGATGCATGTAATGTTTATTTATTTATTTTTTTTTTTTTTTTAATAAAAAATCATTATCATTCTCGATTAAAGAATCGTTTTTTTTTTTTGTTTCTTTTTTTTTAAAAAAAAAGAAAAAAAGAAAAAAAGTATAGAATAAGGGTTTTAAAAAAAAAGAAAAAAAGAAAAAAAGTATAGAATAAGGGAAATAAAAAAAATATCTTAAAAAAGAAATTCCTAGAAATTTTTCGTTAAGTCTGAATCTAATAAATCAAAAAGAATAACCAGCTGTCGATTGCCTGGTATATCATTGTCATTCAAGATTATCTATTGAAATGTGTTACCTCTCACCTTTTGACCATTTAACCCCTATTAAGGTCAAAGGTACTATTGTTCTTAAATTTCAAATATTTTATATTTTAAACCATCATAATAATTAATAATTTCTGTTTATGTTATGATGCAAAAATAAATATTTATTATTATTGTTTCATGTCGGACATTAAAAACAAGCATTATGGACGTAATTTTCGATCCAATGTATCAAACTTTATTGTTTGTCCCCGCGCTCCAAACGTCTATTTTTATCCATTAATATATTACCCATATTCCAAAAATTACATTACATTTCTTCTAAATATGTTTAGTTACTCATCCACCATCTTCAAATATTTGTACAAAATCATGAATTTCATTTTATGTAAATCGTGTCGAATTTTTTCCTTTAAAAATGAATCATTCCGAACTTTATTAAAAAAAATTTAAAAAATTTTAAAAATAAAAAAATTTAAAAAAAAAAAACCAAAAAAACATTTTTTTTGAAAACTTTGTATCTTTTTTTCAAAATGATATTCCTACTATACGTTAGTTTGTTGGTGGTTTTATATCATATCGTAAAAAAATTATTTTCGGCACCAAAGAGCCCAAACGGTTTTGATAATATACCTTCGATACCTTCACTCGAGTTCATATGGGCAATGTTCACAGGAAAACCACAGGATGAAATCCAAGGAATAATATCTAAAGTTTCTGATAAAGGGATTATCAAGGTAATGAATGTATTATAATATATATAATACAATAATTACGGTCTCATAGAATCTTTGTCACTTAACGTTTTTGTTTGGTAAATCAAATTAGGCAAACGCGGGAACCATAGCCTTTTTTTATCTTCAAGACGTTGAATACATAAAACAATTCTTAACAAAGTCAGGTACATATATATACATTTGTACACTTACATGTGCTTTATGTTTTTTTTCTTTTTTCGTTTATTAAACTTTAAACGTGCATTCATCGTCTTAAAATGTAGAGGATGTCCTTCCTAAAATGAAACATGGCTTAGGAAATAGAGTTAAGAGCTTTTACGGAAATGGAATTCTTTTTTCAAACAGCCACGTAAGTAAGGAAAGCAAAGATAAAGTTTTAAATTTTGGTTTGGGTTTTCATATTAAATTTTTCTCTTCGCAAATACTGATAGTCATGGCGCATGCAACGAAAACTAAATAATGCGGCATTCAATCGAGCTTTATCACATGACATCATTGGCAAAAATGCATTCAAGTTATTCAATTTGATGGATTATAACTTGGACAAACCGATAAATATTTACGACATGATGCAACGTACAACCATCGAAATATTAGGCCAAGTTGCATTCGCTTATGAATTTGGTGTAAGTCCATATATAGAATCTTTGTTACAAATTGTTTATTTATTTATGGGTCAATAACAAAAAAAAATTTTTTTTTTTTTTAGGGATTGAACTCCTTTGAGATACCAGATATTATCAAATCATATAAATATGTAATGGAACAAACCGAAAATTGGTTACACATCCTCTTTCCTATTATGGATCATTTACCTCTCGAATCAAATAAGAAATATCAGGAGAACATGAATGTATTTGATAATTTTATCTTAAATCTCATCGCACAAAGACGGAAGGAGTTAAAATATCAAGATAAAGAAAAAAGTGATACCACGGATAATAATTTATTATCCAGTATGTTGGAACTTGGTGAGAAAGAAGGTATTAAGATCGATTCTCGTGAATTGAGAGATAATTTGGTGAATTTATTCATTGCCGGTCATGATAGTGAGTATTCTTTTTATGCCCGTAGAATAGAATTGTTTCTTCCTTTTACACTTGTTAAAACGTTATTGTTGATATTCTTAGCCACTTCATTAAATATGAGCGTTGCTATTTATCATCTCGCTAAATTTCCGGTAAGTAAACTTCGATCATGTTTGCGCTTCATGCATATTTGCTGTTGATCGAAGCATATTTAAATTCTCTCGCTCTTTTTTAGGAAATGCAAAAGAAGGCCAGAGAAGAAGTGATCAGAGTTCTTGGAAACGCATTGACAACCCCAACATCAGAACAAGTAAAGGTAAATTAAATAAATCCCTTTTCTTACTTTTTTATAAAAAAAAGTTGATAAGGCGCTAATAAATCGTACAAATTACATGTTTAGGAATTAAAATATATAAACGCGGTCATAAAGGAGTCTTTACGTACATATCCTCCATTGGCAATTCTAATTCCACGTCAACCTAATGATTATGTTCAAGTTGGTCCTTACATGATCCCCCCGGATTCTTATACTTGCGTGAACGTTTGGCATGTTCATCATGATCCAAATATTTGGGAAAACCCATATCAATTTGATCCCGAAAGGTTTTTAAACGGTGAAAAACGACATCCTTATTCTTTCATTCCTTTCAGCGCCGGTCCAAGAAATTGGTACGATTTTTTTTATAAAACAAAACATCTTCCTTACCGTCTCTAGTTTGGTTGAACATAATTTAATCATGATTTGATTAATTTTTTTTTTTAGCGCCGGACAGAATTTCTCTTTGATGGAACAAAGGGTTTTATTGTCAATGATACGTAAGTAATAGGATCTCCTTCAATTAGTATGTATGTATGTGTACGGTATATTCACAACCTTTATATTTTAATTTTTTTAGTTCTTAAATATGAATGGACACTTCCAGAGGACAGTATACATAAAGTAAAATTCTGTTTAGATTCAAATTTTTTATTAAAACCGAAAGATTTAGATGTCGAGATTCAATTTAAACGAATATAATTGGAAGAAAAAGAAAAAAACAAAGCAAAACACAACGCATTACATTAAAATAATTTTCTTATAAATTAATATATTTAATTTTGTAATATATCTTATCAATTAATTAGAATAAAATCATTACACATAATTAATTTTTTTTCAATATTTTTTTCCGATCATAAATTTATTTATCCAATTTGGGTATAAATCAATGATGTCAAAATTTCCTGCATATGGGGGTAAATACAAACAGCACGCTTTATTGGATTGCCAATATAGTTCATAGGAATGTAACGTCGTAATAGATTCTACATTCTTGTTTAAGAATTTTTGGATTAATACAAGTAATTCTTACAAACATCCTTGTGTTTCATGTTTGAAAGCATGAAATATGCATGTCGTTTCATTTATGTAGCCAGTAAAGACGATAATTTTCAATTGGTGTGTCGTCGTACAAAAATACAATTGAAAAAAAAGAAAAAAAGAAAAAAAAATATGGGAATTTTTTTAATTACGGTAATTTTCTTAGTCACGTGCGCAATTCCAAATAAAAGTGGTAGAAAATCTCTTCTTTTTTTTGCCAACAACCCAAATAGGTATTGAAACGGATCTCGGATATCAACATTTTTGGTGAATAAATTTTGTCATGATGTTTTCATATGTCATTGTATCCAAATTCGTCGAAACCAGTTGAATATCATATATAAAATGCATTTTTTTTTTTTTACTTAATCAGCAACCTACATCCCAATCCTTTTTTTTTCTCTCTCTCCCACTCACACACACACATATTTTTTTTTAAAAAAAAAAAAATAAAATAGAATAGAAAGAAAATAATTAATTATGTCATACTCAACATACTCATCATACTCGTGTTCAAAATTATTTTCAGGAGGTTTACCAGAATTAACAAATGAAATTTTAAACTACCTCCATGATGATTATTCAACATTATATTCTTGTGTATTAGTAAATAGGTTATGGTGTCGTTTGGCAGTTCCAATCTTGTGGCGAGATCCCTTCTCCATTTCAACATATAAAAAACATTTAAGTCATCATTTCATAGATTTTTATCTGTATTATCTTGATGATGATGATAAGAACGTATTTAGGGAGGAATTCGGAATTAATAGAATCGACTTCTTATCAACAACACCCTTATTTAATTATCCATCTTTTATTAAGGCATTGAATACGTATAAACTGGATTTGATCGTGTCTGATTGGATTGATTCTTTTACGGAGCAACCGTCAAATTCTAAATCTCATCGAAAGAAAGGAAATTCTTTAAATTATAATTTACCTCAACCGACCATGTTGTACCACCCGACTCGACTTCGACAATACAGACCACCATCATTTCATTTTAATAATGATACACGAAATTCATTACCTTTTGAATCACCTCCTCCGAGTGGTGGTAATATTCGTGATGATTTTCAAAAGAATATCCTTCCGCCTCCATTAATTTCCACTTCATTACAAAGAAAGTATCGTGGATCTTGGGATACCTTACCATTTCCTTTACCCGTAGATTTCAAATATTTGAAACAGGAAACACCTTTAATGATGGATACATCACTGCCAATACGTCCCATAAATCCAACTTTTTCAACTCAACCAATAGTACAACCAAGAAGGCGTCGAATTCGACGTCGTATACCATTTAATTTGTTAAACGTGAGAACGGTACAACTCGCGTCGTTAATACCGCCAGATGAGAAACTTCAGGATTCAATAAAGTTGAGACACTTTATCTGTCGTACCTTAATTAAATTATTTATCTCGAACTTTGCTTCATTAATCACTTTTGAAATAATCGTTGATCGCAAGACGACGTTATATGATTTTAAATTCATACATGAAGTTTATGAATTGATCAAGGACAGCCCAAAATTCATCTCTGGGGTTGAGAATTTCACCTTTCATCATAATCCTACATCTCAATACTTTATAATGAATGGGATTACTGCAACGTCCATGGATTCGATCTTACCTTTCACCTCTTACTTACCTTCATTATGTAATTCGGTTAAGGATCTAAAGATTCAAGTTCAACCTTTTCAACCAAATAATGTTAGTTTAAAGGCTTCGAAAAATTTGGCAAGATTTATTGATTCACAGAAAGCGCTTTCTAAACTCACCTTTGCCTTTAACAAGGATTTTTTACAAGATTCCTTGTCAACTCTAAAAAGCGTTGCGAGCACCTTAACTTGTCTCATATTTGATTCATGTCATTTCATAAACATTCAATCTTTTCAAAGCCTTGAATGCCTTGAAAATTTAGAATCTTTACAATTTTATCAATGTTATCCCGTGTTAAAGTTGGAATTGGTTCAACATTTATCAAACATTTCAAACCTCAAGATCAAGACGTTAGCGATCGTTACTAATGATTCCCAGTTTATTGATCCATCGGATGATGTATTACAATATCAATTAATATTACATAAAGTTGGGAGTCACTTGGAGAATTTAATTTTATCAATTTATGATAAGAGAAACATTTTTGATAGTATTTCACATTACTGTGAGAAAATTAAATTTATTCATTTCACTGAAATACAACATGAACACATCCCTCGATTAAATGATTTACTCTCATGCTTTGGTACAACCCTTCGATACCTCACACTTGATATTAAGTATGATTTTAATCATTATCCAAGATTTTCTTTCCGTAGACTGATACGCATAGAGGATGAACATTCGCAATCCGCAAGTACTTTACTCTTACAACAACTTGGTCAAGCATTACCTCTTACTTTAGAGTACATTGATTTATTCTTGATCTTGGATCCGATTAACCTTCAAACCTTCTTGGATAATTGCAAGCATCTTAAATTAAAAAGGTTCTTGCTTAGAAACATGAGGGAATTTTATTTGGACGATACTTTACAATTATTGAAACGACTTATAATGGACATGAATAGTATTCAATGTCTTGCTTATCGGATTGGTAAAGGGGTTGATTCATTTGAATGGGATTTAGGTGGTAATGGGTTTAGAGAGAGGAAGGAAGCAAAAGAATTTGAACCGTACGTTAAAGTTAAAAAGTATTCCGAAGCGGTGATTAGAATGTCGGAACCGTTCAACCTTGAAACTTTCACAGCTTATACATTGTAAATTTCTATTATTTATTTATTGTCATTTGTTTGATTCTTTTTTCTTTACATCAAGAATAATTCTTGAGTTTTGGGATTCCCAAAAAAATTAATCTACCCTTGAATTCAAGATCACAATTAATATGTGAAAAAAAATTCTTTGTATTTATTTTTTAAATATCTTTTCTTCTAATTGATGTAAGTATTGTAAATGTGGAATGATTTAATAAATTAACATTTTGAAGATAATGACTAAATTAAAGGAATATCTCTCAATTCATAAATGAAATATAAATTTCATAAATTTTCGTTTCATAATATATTTTCGATTAATTATTTACGTCGGGATATTCATTCTATTGATGAACCTTTTCGGTTTTTCAATCCAACAGGTGAATTTGATCAATTTCGGATTTTTTGCAAGGATCATATTTAATTTTTTTTTTTTTGATGATAACGGGACGGAAAGGAATCCTTGCTTAGTGGAGGAATGTAATTTGCCAAAAGTAAATTTTAAATTTATCAATCGAGATAAAAAAAAGTACCATGAAATTACTTCTTATCTTAGTCACAAGTAAAATTTTGCTCATTATTGCCTTAACAGGTAGTAATAAGGAAATTCTGGTCTTATTTATTTTTTTTAGAGTTTCACTTATCTATGTAAGTAACATAAATAAATATACATACATTCTTGTTTGGCTTCAAAACACATAATAAACCCAATTTTGGTGTTCTAATTGATTTATTTATGATGGCCCAGTATTTGGAAATTCGATATTTGAAATTTTTACGTATCACACCCTCATTCTCGAAAATAATAATGGTGACTGTGGATCTTATGTTGTGACCGCCAAAAAATTTAGAAATTCATTTTTCCTGAATCATTTCACATGTACCATACAAAACAGAACAATATATGCTTTGTAAAATCAAAAAAAAAAAAAAAAAAAAAAATTTGTATATTAACTATTTAAGCGGGCGACTCATTTCGAAAATTTCGCACCGAGATTTTCCATTATTTGCTCCATTAAAAAATTTTGCTAACTGGGGCGTAATCTACAGTCCGTTCCTTACTGAAGTTTTCCTTTCGGAAAATTTCGGTTCCCTTCTTTCTCAAAGTTTTGCGAATGATGGTTTAGAAATGTTTTTATATCAAAATCATTTCAGTTTTTAGGAGTTATTTCTTTAATAGTAAGAAATGTTTCGCGAATGCATCATTAGTAAAAAAAAAAAAATTTTTTTTTTTTTTTTGAACCATGATATTTCACGTATCTAAAACAAAAAAATAAATAAATATAAAAATGATTAATTAGGAAATGAGTTCGATCATATTTTTTCCTTCTAGTTGGAATTTCCAATAATGAAAATAATCGTTTGACTTGTTGAATCCAATTAATTGATGATTTGTTCAATCTACCCCTAAATGAAGCTACGCCGTGTCCAGGAGAAACAGTTATATCTGGCCAAGTTCACGCATTTTATAATTCTGAACGGTTATTTGATGAATGCTCCCTATTACAAACAAATATTACAAGAAGTATTTAAATGAAATTATTAATAAACGCCAATAACACGTTATTAGACTTTTATATTTAAACAAGATTTTTCTTTCAACTTTAAATAAATAAACCTTCATTTGTGTTTCG